CTGCCTTTGGCCGGAGTTACAGCTCTGTATCCCAGAGCCCCAACACTCAGCTAAAGCATTCCTCCCAACTTTAACCCCACTTTTCTGTTCAGATGAAAGCCCATTTGGATTACGCAACAGGTTTTTCAGTCAGATTTTGTAGCATGACGAAGATTTTTGTAAGTCTTTCTTCTTTTCTCTCCCAAATGAGACTGAAGCTCATGAATAAGCTGCAACATCAAATAAAAACAATCAAATCTTTCATTAGTGCACATTTGAACCTATACTTATTTTTATAGTTTGTGTTGAACATGATTACAACTAGGATTTTTTTTCATTATCATTCATTATTAAATTACTTGATGTTTGATAAATAGCGAGGGTTTGTTCTCAAGTCAAACATCCACACATAGATGTGTCTTTGCTTTAGTTTGTAACATTATCTTGCCTTTTCATCTAGTATAATAACTGAACTGAAGGGCAACAATAATTTGCAGCAGAAGCAATTTTATCTGATGAGAATTGGAAAAATGTATTTCTGCCCTTAAGAGACATTTCTGTCCCTTTTCTCAGTTTTCATTCAATTCTATGAACATTGGCTTCTATATCCTTGTGTGGCAGCTACTGGTAGCCCCCAAACTGCTCAGTGAGAGAAGTCTTCAAAAACACAATAGGCCAGCCAGCAGTCTCCAATCAAGCTGTCTGCATGGCATATTGAGTGGCTGGCTGTAATTATGTGTACGATAATAACGGGCCCATTGTGAGTGACTACAGCAGGGTGGAGCTCTGACTGCAGGGTGTTCCATCAACCTGTTGTCTTCCGGCTCAGATATGGAGAAATACTGACACGATGACTCATAACTGGTCTTTCAAGGCGCTAGTTTATACCTCTGATTCATACTGGTACATAAGAGAAATGGGAAAGAATAAGCATGTGCGCGCCCAATGACACACTCGGGAAGAAAACTCAGACACGCACACAGAGGCATGAAAAGGTTTTGAGAGTGAGAGGTGAATTGTATAGTGAGAGCTCTGAATGGCCAGAGAAGAGAAATGATTGGATGTCTCCCCCACAGAAGCGTGCTACTGCCACCTGGTGGCCATGTTAGGTACAGGACGTAACAAGCCTCTGCAGGTCTGGATGTACTTGTCGGGGCTTGTAGGTTTAGTTGATGGAGAGAATGAATCATCATCTGAAACTCGGGTCCTCCCTTTTTATTATGTAACTTTCAGACCGGCTGAGGCAAATCCTTACGAGTCCAACTAGATTTGAATTGTGAAAGTAAAAGCGGTTTGAAATTCTGATGTTTTTCCTCTCTCCTGCACAGAAGGGGAAGGACCCTCTCTACGCCCAGATCAACAAAGGGAAGAAATAAAGAGACACGCAGGAAGACGGACCTGAGCAGCACTGAGAGAACAGGAGGAGAACCCTCACCTTGTGTTTGTGTGTGTTTGTGTGTGTGTGTGAGTGTGTGTTTGCGTGACTGGCATATCTCCCAGCCTGGCCAAGCCCTTCTTCTTCTTCTCCTCCTCGGCTAACAGCCTCCCAGGAGGAGCCTCCACGCTCCCTCTGCCCTCCCGCTGTGCTCCTCCTCCTGAGAGGAGTGAGCCCTCTTGGTAATTCACTCCAGGCAGGAGGGATATCAATCACCGAGACGGATCCAGTTCTCCCTCCACTGCGCTGTCTTCTCCTCTCCTCTCCCCTCCCTGTGGCGACTCACACACAGCCTTACAGACATAACCTGCTCCTCCCCTAGCTCCCTTCTTCCTTCTTTCCCTCCCTCCTCTTCTCTGTGTTTGCTCTTACACTCCTCCCTCTGCCTCCTGTGTCTGGCCAGAGACTGTGCTGTCAAGGAGAGACTGAATCAAGCAGTGCCTCGCTGTCTCACACACACACACACACACACACACACACACACACACACACACACACACACACACACACACACACACACACACACACACGCTCGCTCATCAGGATTAGAATGATCATCTTTCATTTAATGGACAGAATGTGCACCTGAAGCGAGTGGATCCTGCAGGAGGAGCTGGACTCTAACGAGCCTATCACAGAGGCCCGTTACTAGGATCACTGCTTCTGATTGGATCGTTGGTTTGGGCAATGTCTCCAAATTCTTGTGAGTGTCTGCTGGATCACTATGCAGAAACAGACTCTCTGGGAGCTACTCACACCCAAATACACACACAACAATCAGCTTACATACTCCTATCACACACACACACACACACACACACACACACACACACACACACACACACACACACACACACACACACACACACACACACACACACAGGACAAAGTTAAGGTTGTGCAACCTGTAGACAGAAAAGTTTCCTTCCTTTTTGCCCTTTGTATTATTCTGCTGAGCATGACATTCTTTGTTTGTTGTTTTGTTGACAGTAGTTGTGTTGTGTCTGGTAGGATAATGAGTTGATTCCATGTACTGGACTTTTTACAAGGAGTTATATTCATAGTCATACAGATTTGACCCTCGTTTTTTCCTGCTGGCACAGTAACCCACATTGCAGCACCTCACACTGAACTGTAAGTTTCTGGGTTGTGTTTGGGCATGTTGAATAATTTAAAATGTGTTTTTCTTACAGGCCTGAAACGTTAGATTTTGATCATCCTGACATGATCATTTTACCTCCTCCTGACATGTATGCTGACCTGACAGTGGAATAATTCTCATAAACAAGGTAAGAATAAATCTCCTGGACTCTCTCGTCACTACATGACATCACTGTGCACTTCACTTACTGACACATTGTTTTTCTGTTTGTAACAGCAGGACAAAGAGCAGCCAGGCAGAAGAAAAACAAGACAAAAATGTGTCCATACTGTTATTGTGCACACTGTGACCCGTGTCAGTCACCCAATACTGTGACGGTGTCTTCATCTTCCTGACTGTGACCTCGTTTACCTGGTGACGGCATTTATGGATCAGTATGATGATGAAGAGGATCGAGATAAGGAGATTTCTCAACAAGCGATACACCGTCTCCTCAAACTTTTTTTTAAGCTCTCCGTGTGAAAGCAGAGGGACCTGGTGGCTCTGTATGATTTTGAAAAAGTGGACCAATATGAGCTGCTGATCCCAGGAAAAAGAAGTACAACATTTTTCAAACACCTCATGCGTTTGAAAATGTTCACACGTCATGTGCAAATAACCAAAAACAAATGGTGGTGTAAATAAGGGGAAGACGATGGAACATGTAGATTATTCTCAGACCAGTTTAAGGAAACAGTGTGACAGCAGACACAGGCAGTGAGAACAGGCAGATTAGTTTACTTCTCATTTTCATTCACATTCCGAGAAATCACTAGTCAGGTTGTTCCTCAGGATAATCTAGTTAGTTAGTGTCCAATACACTTGTTACCGGTTTACAGTGTTGGTAGCAAAGGAGTAAATGGAAGTATAGCTTGTAGACATACAAATGAATAAATTACATATATAAACTTACGTATTACATACATAGTTCTTTTTTTACTTAATACTGGGCTAGTCAGTTCTTCCATGTGTTTTTGTATTATTGTTGTTTTTTTTGTACATGAGTATCTTTTCTACTTCTATGTACCCCTGTTAGTGTTGTTAAATATCATTATGGATTATAGAAGTGCATATGTAACTCATGTCATAGTATTTAAATGCTGAGCTTTAAAGATATTGTGTATAATTATCTTTAATGGCACCGATAACCATGGAGGGAAATCTAAAACAAACAAAGACCAGTTGCTATGTATTGTTCACAGTTGCACATTCTGGAGGGAAGCACAATCCATAAACTTTATTTTCTTTCTTTAATTTTTACGGAGCGGATGTGTAGCAGGTGTGACTTTTATCTTACCGCCTTTCTTCTACGACTTTCCCTGAAGCTGATGAATACCAAGTGTTATAGAAAGACAAAGTGGTGTGATGATCACCTGAGGTCATTTTTGTTGTTTGTCAACATCTAAGGGTGAAAAACACCTATATAATCCTCTGTGATGACGGGTGTGAAATTGACAAAGCATTTAGGACAAACACATTTTCCTTTGATATGTTGGTTTATTGTTTTTCAATAAATACTCTTCAAGTTCAAATTATAACAGCAATTTCATGCAGTGCGTAACAAGAGAAATCCAAACCCCAATCAGACAGGAAGAGAAACTGTGACAAACACAGCCTTATACACTTTCTTTCCCAATAACCAGTACACACACACACACACACACACACACACACACACACACACACACACACACACACACACACACACACACACACATGCAGTCATCTCTCACCCTCTCTAACAATCTGAGGAATGGACGCTGAGAAGGAAGTGTTGCAACAGATTCTGTGATCGAACTGTTCATTCTCTATAGCTTTTGTACAATACTGATTAAAAAAAGAAGAAATTAAAAAATTGAATTTTTATTTTATAAGTCAATCAAGCCGCTGGGGTCAGCTCTATAGGAGTTATAGAGTCAACATGGCTTTAAGGCATCGGATCGTTGGTTTGCCAAACTCATTTTGTAAATAATGATAACAACAACCATTTTGTCCAATGGACTTCTGTGCCATAAAATAGGAAGGCTTCAGTTATGCAAACTCTCAACGTTAACCCAAGCAATACCAACATATGTTTTATTTTCCTGTTTTCCCACTATGTTTTGTAATCCTCTAATGTTGTTTTGATTTTGTGCATGGATGTTGTTGGTCTTTGTCTTAACCTCACTTACTAATCCTGTTTCCAGCTGCAAACCCTGCTCGTATCTGTCTTTTCGAGTCCCACCACCTCACACTGATAGCCGATCAGCTTCTGCAGTTTATGTCACCAATGGCCTATGTATGTGTTTCTGTACCTCACACTCTCTATGTTGCAGAGGACATAGTGTCACTCACTGTAACGTAGTCTGCTCCTCCATCCCATTCCCCCTCTATAGTCTTTGAGATACGGTGATGCTCCGCCCATCTGTCTGTCTGCTGGTCAGGTGCCAAACTGCTGCTGTCCCAGCGTCTGTGTGTGGATGGCAGCTTCCTCTGCTACAACTACATCAACTTTGATGCCAATGACTCCCTATTTTATGGCCAGAGTCCCCATGTCACTGAGAACTCTTTTGGACTATGATGTTGATTAACTTTCAAATTTGACAACTAGAAGATGAGCAGAGGAGTTGAATAAAAAGGGAAACGTTGCTGTTTGAGTACATAACATTTCTAGACCTATTTTAACTTTACCTCAGCTAACAGTTTCTTAATGTAAATTGACACATTATTTTTATCTTTATGAATATGACATTCTACAGTGGGTTTTTAGATGATTTTTTGGTTCTCTCTTGATTTATGTATTCCACCATGTATTACTGTTACAAATAAACACATCCCAAATGACTGATATGTCTATATATGTGTCTCTGTTGTAATGAGGTTGTGTGTGTGCGTGTGAAAGAGAAAGTGAGCCTAATGGTGTGTGCCTGGCAGAGGTGACCCCCAGTGAGTCTTTAGTTAGTGTAAAGCAAGTGCCACAGTATTTTGCTGTAATTTAACATGGCTTTAATGGCCTGTCACATTCTGCTACACTGGCAGCCTCTAATGCAAGCTGTCATAAGCTTTATTAGCAAGCCACTACAGAACAAAGACCTCTTCCTCTTATTTTGCCTCTACCCTCCTCCCTGTGGAAAAGGGAAAAACACATCAAGGCAACTTTAACACACTCGTTGATTCAATAATTGTATTCAGGAGAAATTCAAACTAGAAGACCCACTAAAGACACTTATCTGTGATATTTTTCCACACAAAAATTAGAATGACAACAATGTCTTCCAAATACCTTGTCCCAGTTACTGGATAATCCACATATCTCACTGTCGGCTGTTTTCTTTGTAAACATTTTCTTCTATGAAAGCTGTCCACACATGAGATTCCGTTCACGTCATTGTCTTATTGTGTTGCCAACATTTTTTATTGGATTAAAATATTAGCAGATAGCTACAATTGGAAACATCTGCATAACTGGATACAACCAAGGGTAAGTGTAAATGTGTACATGTATATTGGTTATTGGATGATCTGCCCCTTTTAAGGTTCGTCTAATCTGCAGTTTCTATAGTGTTTAAGATTGTTTCTACACAGACAGCAATACAACGACAAAAATGTTTTTACATGAGGTCTAAGCTCTTGAGCTGCTGATTCACTGTAACACCTTTCAACGAAAGCTCAGGTTGGCAGTAATATCCTTTAAACTGTGTTATGAAGGCTCTGAGGCCGTTTTTACAAATGCTTACCTAAATACTAATCTATGTAATAAACCTGGAATGTTGACAAGCCTCTTTTGCTTCCTTTTTTCTTTATGTTAACTTTCAAGATTACATTTCAGCTGCAGACAACATGCATCTAATGCTATAGATCACCGATGGACAACATCTTCCCACAGGAGCAAACACACTGCCTATTGTTAGGATTCAGGATGTACTGTATTGGCAAAATCACAGTGGATATTAAACAGTTTTAAGAAAACAACTCCAGGCGCGAGGTTTCATGACAGTGACTCACATTTGCGCGTAACACCGTGCCTGCCAGGCAACATTCCTGAAGGATAAAAAAAACAATCCTAGCTGTTGAGAGTCATTGCGCTGCTCTAAATGCTCAACCGGGGCCAAGACCCGTTTGACGAGACGGGCTGTTTTGTGAAGATGAGTGTCAGTATTCCTACTCAACCTCATTCCTGCCCCGAAACCATCTCCTGTGCGCAAGGGACGCACAACAGTCTCGATCAGCACGGAGCAGAGACGCACTGAGTTGGCACAGGATTTATAAAGCGTTAAAACTGTTAACTGTGTGATTTCTTTGGACATATAATGAGAAGCTGATGAAGGAACTCACTGGAGTTAACTTACTATACTAAGAAGGAATTTGTTCGTTTCGGTGGACATTTAGACACAATGGATCAGGTATGTGGCCCTTTAATATCAAACATTACGCAAAGTGTTTTTAACTTTGCTTTATGTTATCATAATGATAATATTTGCAATACTATTGTTATAATTTATATTGTGTTAACAGGTGTAATCTTTCTTCCTGTCATAATGACAGCATAGTAAGCTTTGACTGAGTTAGTGTTAGTACAGTAGACTAATTGTCTATTTATTATATAAATACGGGCCTCCTATGTGTTTGTTGAAACCCCCATACTTGAAATAGTTGTAGATATGCTAATGAGTAAAAAAAAAAGCAATCATTGTTATGTGAAGGGTAAAACATGGCCATGATTTCAATCTTCATTTTAGCTAAGCACCGCACTATCTTTCATAACAAGTGACTGATTTTTTGTGATAACATACTTTCTGTATTTGCCTGAGTGTAGTATTGTACATCAGCTTTACATTGTTTGGTCCTTTCACCAGGAGGACACGCTGGACTTTAAGGCCCTGATGGCCAAGTTTCAGGAGGAACAACTTATTCTTAAGGAACCGAAGAGCAGACCTGCCCTCCCAGACAAACCTAAAAGTGTCCCCCCTCCCACGAGTCCCTCTCACTTCCTCCCTGCAGGAGCACGCCCCTCCCTTCTGACCTCCATCAACCAGACCCTCGATGGGAAAACAGTTAATGCCCCCAAAGTGATCTTCAAAGACGATAAGAAGCAGAGCAAAACGCCCCTCATCTCTAAGGGAAAAGACAAGACTGAAGTGAAGCTGAAAAAAGCGAAAGATAAGACAATGAAAGGAAGCAAAGATAAGCTTGAAGAGATTTCAGAGGATCTGAAACCGAAGAAAGTGAAGAAGCTCCCGCAGCTCCCTGGAGCATCTAAGGGGAAAACTGCTGAGCTGGTGCCAGCCGCACCCCCACCTACAGGCACAGTGTCAAAGAAGAGGGGCATCCTGGATTTCATGAAGTCAACAAAAAGAAATTCAGCGGAGGTCCCTGAAGATCAGATCTTAGACTCTCCCACCTTAGGCATTACTGGACCAGCGCCACTTATCCCAGTACATGTTGACTATGGTGTTGTAGCACCTGACATTTCTGCCCCAAGGGCCCTACGAAACATCCCTATCTTACCGGACTCAGCTGCTGTAATGGAAATAACCCCGCCCTCCACTATCCCTGCCCCTCCTGAATTGACCCCCCCTCCTACCTTTGTTCCTGATATCCCAGATCTCCAAGTGCCAAACTTAGAGATTGAAACTCCTCTTGAGATCGAGACTCCTGCAGTGCACATTTCCAGGCCTGCTAGTCAGAATGGAGTCATTCCCAATCCACCCAGCGATTCCCCAACCCCCCCACCCAGTCTTGCCATCTCTATTCCTTCTCCAGTGGCCCCCACTCCTCCTCCATCACTTCCTGAGCCTGAGATTGCTGCTGAGGCTTGTGTAGAGGCTGTAAATATATCTGCAGTGGAGACGCCTCCTCCTCGTCCTCCTGGAACAGACCCTCCATCCATTCCGTCGTCTCCCAAAGCTGAGCGACCCATCTCGGTCATCTCTGCCCTCTCCAGGGCGGAGGATATGAGCCCAGCGAGAAAGATGTCTCCGGTTGACCAGAGGATCTTCAATGCGCTGGAGAAGGCACGCAAGAAGATTGGGTAAACAAAACAACTTTTTCTGTGCCGAAACATAATTGAAACCACATTTGAAACAATGTTCAAGTGATGGAGGGTATGACCAAATGTTCAGCTGATTCATGCTATTTAGTGGTTTTCTAATGTGTACATCTGATTTTAGCCAACCGACAAACCCCACCACATCATACTCCATCACCCCACCTTCTGAAGAGCGTCCACCAAGTCCCACCATTTCCCTCCCAGGTCTACCGCCCATTGATTATGAGGGAAAGCTCAACGGCTTGGACCCCAGTAAGTCTACACAATTTACTCTAGAGTTGTTTTCCTCTTTGTATTATTTTCTTATGGAGTGTTTCTTTGGGTTTTAAACTGTAAATGAATGACTCAGAAGAATATCTAATCATCAGGGAGTAGGCCTACTGTCAACTACATGACATCTTTACTTTGTGTAGTGTCTCAGCTATACAGAAAAGCTGGTATGTATAGTATGATTTATGCTTTAGGATACCTTTGGAGAAGTAACTTTCAAAATTCAAACACACACACACACACACACACACACACACACACACACACACACAGAACATTCCTCCATTGCGTCAGCGACAACTGAGCAGCAGACAGGGCAGAGCACACAGGTATGTCAGCTATGAAGGAGAGGAGGAGTGATGTCAGGAGTCCATCATTGTGAAAGAGTTGAACTGGCATTGCATAATGCGGAGTCTGCTGCTCTGTTCACAGTGGCTTCATTAACACAGAGCGTATTAATTGTGCATGTCGCTGCATGTATCAATTAAAAAAATCTCATGCTGTTAACTATTTCCCTATCTGTTGTCACTTATAGTAAAGTAATACACTTGTATCTATGCTAACTCTCAGTGGGAAAACCTTTTTGAGTCTAAATGATTGCCTTTTTATTTTCAAAACACCTATTTGTAATACAAAGTGATAACATTTTAAGGAAAATGTTTCCATTATAATGAGAAGAAATTGTTAAATTAAATACAATTGCACCTTTCTAGGACTAGTGCCATATTAAGTTCTTTGGATTTAAAGAAATATATTTAAAATCAATTATGTTTCTTAAAAGGTAAAGTTACACAGAGATTTTTAAAGTAAGGTCTGCTATGTGTTTTTTCATTAGCTCTGCTCTGGCCTAGTTCAATGACTTCTGTGAAGTGTTTAACTGTTTTTTTCTCCAAACAACAACATAAGTTATTCCACTTTCTCTTGCCTATTCCACCCTTTCAATTCATTGTTTTTAAATGCTGATCCTGAAATGCAGATACACTTTTAATACGTTGGGAAACCCAGAAATCTCTGACAAATGAGTCATACATGGTACATTAATAATCGTGATCATGTATTAACATGGGGTCATGTTCTTTGCAGGGCAAGCCTCTCCAGCATTGGAAGGTATCACTGAGGAGGGATCGGACCCTGTCCCAGAGCTGTTGGTGGTTCCCCCTCCTCCCCCCAAACGGCTCCTCCCAGACCCCGAGTCTCTGGGAGTTGCTCCAGAGAAACCCCACAGACCTCCCCGTGTCAACCTGAGGGAATTCATCCCTCCTCCTCCTCTGGAAGGTAATGGTCAGCATTGTTACCCTTACATTGTGAAATCAAACTCATACACCACGCCTAACAAGTTGATTATATCATCTTATCTACAGAGACCCCTGCTCCTCCTGAATTCTCCGAGGCTGACCCCACAGACATCCCAGAGTTTGATGATGTGACCTCAGATGCTTATCCTCCAGAGCTGCAGGTGCCAGAGTGGGGGGATGGGGATTACACCGGTCCAGAGACTCCAGATCAACAGAACCTGCCGGAGTTATACGGTAACGGGGCGACTCCACCTGAAGCTGAGCTGCATGCATCTCCAACGTTTGTAGACGATCATCCAGATAATCGACTATCAGGATTTTCCTTCCCAGTCCTTCAGGAAGCTCCAGGGTAAGACACGAGTCATTTTTATTTTTTATTTAATCGTTTATTTGGCAGGGACAATGCACAGTAATGAACACTTAAAACATTCAAATGTGTCAAGCGTAACAGTGTAAGATTTAGCTTTGAGCTCATTTCCATCCGCAGTCCCTCACATAAAACCTTTACGAAAATTACATTTTACAAACATAGCAAAAACAAAATACATGATATGCAAAAAGTGCAAAAGTGACCCCGTGCTCTCTGTTTCAAAAATACTTGTTTGTCTCTGAGAACTTAGCCTTTCTCTTTTCAGGATTCCTGCTGAATCTCTCAACGATGTGTATGAGAGCACAGAAAATGTCTACGAGGACATCACTACGTCTTCAGGCAAAAATAAAGCAAAGAGTGACGGTGGAAAGAAACGCAAAGGACCCCCAAAGAGTGAGCAGTCTTTTCAGTTATCATATTAGTAATAAGATATTCGGAACACCAGATATAATTGCATCGGTCATATAGCTTTGATAAGACATATACATCCCTTTATCAAATAAACATATACTGAAAGTTCATATGTTTTGCTATATGATGCATGCATGCATGAAGTGTGACATTGAACTAAATCCCCCTATTCTAAAGATGGAGTATACCAACATTTTTTAAATAAATACTAAAAAAAGTGTGATTTTATCTTAAAAATAGTCCAGCTCATTGCTTGTTATCAACGTTGACTTATGATTGTGAACCTCTTTATTTATCACAGATCCATATGCTGAGGCTCAACAAGAAATAGTAAGTAGCTTTTGTGAGAATTTGCTTGCCACCTTCTGAAGTCACTTTTAAAATAAAAAAGACGTGAGATAAGTCATGCTTATCTGTTGGATATTCAATGCAAGTTAAATAAAGCCTTATCTCTTTTTCTTTTTTTTTGACAGAATGTAGAGAAAATCAAACCGGGCAGGTTCGGCAGGTAAGGCCATATTCTTTTTTGACCCAGTTCATTTTCCATATCGAATACCCCCCAGACGATGTTAGAAATAAGAGTTTGACCTGCCTTTGTTTCCCTCATAATCTCCTCTGCCATTTAAATATCCTGCAAGGGGTCCCTTTCAAACACGCTGATATAACTCATTCTCTCCTCTGCAGGAGCGAAAAGAAAGCTGCCGCAGAAGGGCCGGATGAGAAAGAGCTGAAAAAGAAAGAGAAGCAGCGACTGGAGAAGGAGAAGAAGGAGCTAAAGGAGAAACAAGAAAAGGAAAAGAAAGAGCAGAAAGAAAAGGAAAAGAAGGAGAATGAGATGAAGAAGAAATTCAAAGTGAGTGCTGTTGTTTTGACGGAGCAGGGAGGTATGGCAGGTGTACGAGCGGCGGGGGAGGGTGGGGTATGTGTCTTGGCATACAAACCTGTCGGGATTCATTCCTTCTGGTGGAAGAGCCGTGCTGAGCACCATGAGCAGGCTCAAATGGAATGTCTAAACATTGTTTTTTACGACAGACAATAGTCTGTTATTTATTATGCAATGTACTGTTACCATATTCACAAAATAACTTTCTTCAGGATCCAGTGGGTCCTGCATACATTCGAAAGCTCCCATGTCATGGCCATTTCCACTGATCATAATTCCATTGTTGAGGTCTACTAGAATAGATTTATATTGTGCAATTTTCCAAACTCACATTGGTTTCTCATACAGCATCTCTGTAAACTACAAAATTCACAGAATTTCACTCTCTGCCTTTAACGGCTCGTTGTAGCTCCAGTAGCTCCAGCCCCCACCCTCCCTGTGAGAACAGTGTGCTCTGATTGGTCGGGACGTTGTGAATCGTGCTAAGCTCCGTGGTGGTGTTGTTTCCTTGTTTAGCGATACACAGCGAAACTCATCCTGAGCACACACAAAGTCACAGCCAAAGTAAAAACGATAAGTGTGGCTTGATATTGAGTAAGAAAAAGGTTGATAAACGCTGTGAGAATGGGTCTGCAGAGAGAATTTCGCCACGATCCCAACTGTCTGTTATCAGCCAGGGAGGAGAGATCAGCAGAGCTGCCTGCACTGAGTGTGTGTGTGAGGAAGTCCGTGGATTGGTCAATTTGGACCAATCAGCGGGGGCTTAACGTAACGGCTCCGCGGACGTAACGTAACGGCTCCACGGATTGGTCCATTTCGTTCCGGGTACGGTTGACATCATGCGTACCCGGAAGAATCAAATGGACAATGACGTATCTCCAACGAGGCGTTTTGGGGAGGTATTTTCTGTGTTACTCGCTACAGGGTGTACTTTGAGGGTTTGTGACTCTGCAGACCGTTTACATGCATAAAAACCTTCATAACACAGAAGGGGACGGGTAATAACCAGAAAAGCATGACATGGGACCTTTAAAACAAATGGTTCTGAGCAGACAAAGACAAATGGATACATTTTAGTTAGAACTAGCAGTACAGAAAGAAACTATCTAACTCATTCTTGAATGTTACTATAGTTACATAGTGGAGCATTGAGCAGCTAATGGACCAGATATTTGCCTCTGAAAACAAAGTTAAAATAAGAGCAAATATTGAACAAAAAAAGCAGTTATTGCAGGTTTAAATTCAAACTGTCATTATTTTGGAAACCATCCATTTCACATGGTGGAAGGAAGTTAATATCATTAAGTATGAAATCCCTTTATTTTTTTACTGCAAACACTTTGACTTGTCATAACAGGAAAAGCACAGGTGGAATTGGAAACATTAACTATGGCTCAGTGCACCATTAAGTCAGTCCCTCGAAGTGGGAAACAGTTAATGTTAAAATAATAATAACTACACTTGTGCTTTTCCTTCTGGATCATGTCAATATATCTGCTGTGAAAAAGATCCATTAAAAAGTTTGATTTTGTTTACATTCTCTGTAGAAAGTCTCTGTAGTTTGTTTGCATATACACGTATGTGAGGTGTTGTGTTAACCTGCCGCTGTATTTGTTAGATCACAGGACAGGAGGACGCCATCTACGAAGCAACTGTAACCGTGGCGACCAAGGGACGTAAAAATGATCTGGCCGCCAACAGTGGGGACATCATCAGCATCATCAGTACAACCAACTGTCCCAAAGGGAAATGGCTGGCCAGGGACAGCAGCAACAACTGTGAGTTTTTAATTAAAGCCATGTGTTATCATCAGCATTTTGTTCAGCTAAAGGGTAAAAGGAGGAACAAATGGATTAATGGAAAGTCAGAGAATAACATAATAACTTTACAAAAGTGTTCGCACAGAAAACTTAAAATGCTGTATTGTGGGACTAAATCAATAGATTACAGGCTGGCCCACTACTTGCACATTTTGATATTGGGAATTGATACGATGTCTATACACTACAGACAATAAGAACAAAAAAAAAGTAGAAAATTAGATTCAATGCTCCGGGGCTATATGCTACATAATTAAAATCGAATTAAAATGATTTAAAACAAACCAAGCACAGCTAATTCTGTCGATCTAGATCCCATGCGTCAAACTCAAGGCCCGGGGGCCAAATCAGGCCCTTCGTGGATTTAATTTCAGCCCGCAGGATCATTTTTAATTACTATTAGATCTGGCCCGCCGGTATATTGCACGCACACCTTCACTCAATCCTGAGGGTTTCCTCGGCTCAGAGCCTGAGCCCAAACATTAATGAACTTGCAACCAAGATGAGATGCCAAGTATCTGGCTAAAACTAGCAGCATCACAGAGCAGCACACTGAGTTTCTATGGATGTTTCCTTCTGCACTTTTGTTCTTGTGACAACAGAGCATGTTTGCTTTTTTCTTTGAGGGAAATTGTTTTTTTGAAGCTGTTTTTTGGCCTGTGGAAAAATGTAATCATAAGACATGACTCTGGGAAAAGCTGCAGATAGAGCCATAAGAAATGAATACGACCGCTCCGGCCCTTGACTAGTACCGATTGTTTCATTTTGACCAACTGTGTATTTGAGTTTGACACCCCTGATTTATATTGATCAAATGAAAATGCACACACAGAAATGATCAACAAACAAACAACCAATCACATTCCTTGATTGTGTATCACGACGCTAACCCTGTGTGTGTTTGTTACAGACGGATATGTTGCCGTGGATCATGTGGAGCTGGACATCAAGGAGATGCTGGAGCTCGGAAAGAAGGCGGCCATCTCTCGCAGGGGCAAGAACAACAACATTGTGGTCTCAGAGGAGGAGGTTACCAGCTCGGGGAGCAGGTAGGAGGGCACACTCCCTCACTCATTCTTCCTCACACTGTTGGATGATTATTTATAGCTGTATTTCTCTCTTTTTCTCAGGGTCTCAAACCGCTATCCATTGTCAGCGGAAAGCTGTAAGTATCTTGCTGTTCTTATTCATGGAAACTTTGTTGATCTTATTCTGCATCAGTCTGATGTTGACGTTGTGTGCAGTCACAGATGACAGTGAGGAGTGGACCGGTGACGAAGAAGAACCCATCTCCCCTCCTCCTGATACCGCAGATCCACTGACTCCAATGTAAGTCAGGATGGATCTACATTATGCTTTTGATTGATATTACATCTTGAGATAGAGACCTATCAGCACCATTGACACTGATCTCTGATAAGTCATCGCTGGCTATGCGTTGTTTTCTTATCATCAATGCCTTGTCTTGTCAATCTGTTTCCTCTGCAGGGGCCACAACAGGACACTCTCAATGCCAGATATGGGTAAGACATTTAAAACAGGACTTTCCTCAACACATTGTGTTCCTAGCTTACTGTTTATACTTAACAATGAGTGATGATGTAAGGCAATGTGTGACTGGTTGGGTTATGTACCACACAGTGTGACACTTATGTTTCTCATATGGTATCTCCTATCTTGATATAAGTGTGCAGATACAATAGAGAAGCGATATTACAAACATGAGTCTTTATCATGTCATCATGACTTTTTGTCAAGCTACTGGAATCCCACTCCCTTCTGTACTAATCATCATTGAAAGGCTCACAGAAGTCTCAGTTGTTAGCATACTTTAAAAGCTGAATTACAAAATCAGCAGAAGAGCAGGTTGTTTGAGTTCACAGGAAGATGTTAGTAATTAAAGTGTGTTACAATGACTCCAAGGTTTAGTGTCTTCAGTACCCGTGTGCTTATGATATCATTAATGCAATAGGTATGTGTCGTAAAGTTCTCGCCTGTATTTGTCTTTTTCATTTTATTAGGAAACAGAGATCTAAGCATAAACCACCAACACAGTCAAAGTGACATCAGCGCAGAGGGCACACATGACAAGTGAGTTTACCTGATTCTCTCTTACACATATACACTTCAATGTATATCGAATAGTATTTGACTCTTTTATTATTCATTTTTCATTAGAGCAAGACATGAAGCACTTCAGAAATTGGCCACATTTTTCCATGCACCAAAACCTGCAGAACCTGCTCCCAGGTAGGCATGAAGCACGAACTGCACATCTGCTGTACACGCACGCACGCACGCACGCACGCACGCACGCACGCACGCACGCACGCACGCACGCACACACACACACACACACACACACACACACACACACACACACACACACACACACACACACACACACACACACACACACACACACACACACACTGTGTTTTAATTGTTGCTTTTCCTTATTTTTTACAGGAGCATTGAATCAGAGACAAGTAAGTGATGTCTGAACATCCCTGATTGTTAAATATAGAAACATTATAAAGTAACATGTGTTTGTATAATAATGATCATTTCATTTTATAAGGTTTATTGTGAATACCTATAGTATTGGTTTTTTAAATAAAAATCAGTTTATCAATCTATACCATTTAAAAAGCATTAGATTTGACGGAATGTGTTTCTATCACAGGTCCTGTGCTAGCGGAGGAGGAAGAAGATTCCTTGTAAGTAGAGTTATAAAACACACACACACACACACACACACACACACACACACACACACACACACACACACACACACACACACACACACACACACACACAAGGTTGTGCCTGTAGACAGAAAAGTTTCCTTCCTTTTTGCCCTTTGTATTATTCTGCTG